CCTCTGGTGCTTTGGTGAATAACGTGACCCCCTCTTCTTGTGGCAGCCCCTCAAATACCGGAATACTGTTATCCTATCCCCCGTTTCTTCTTTTCTTTAAACTGGCCAAACCCAAGTCCCGCAGCTGTTCTTCCTATGTTTCGGTCTCTAAGCCTTGGATCATCTTAGTAGTAAAGTTGGAAGGGACCTTGGAGGTCATCTAGTCCAACACCCCTGCTCAGGCAGGAAACCCTACCCCATTTCGGACAAATGGTTGTCCAGTCTCTTCTTAAAAACTTCCAGTGTTGGAGCATTTACTGCTTCTGGAGGCAGGTGGTTCCACTGGTTAATTGTTCTCACTGTCAGGAAGTTTCTCCTTAGTTCTAGGTTGCTTCTCTCCTTGGTTAGTTTCCACCCGTTGCTTCTTGTCCTGCCTTCAGGGGCTTTGGAGAAGAGCTTGACTGCCTCTTCTTTGGGGCAGCCCCTGAGATACTGGAATACTGCTATTATGTCCCCCCTCGTCCTTCTCTTCATTAAACTAGACATACCCAATTCCAGCAACCATTCCTTGTATGTTTTAGCCTCCAGTCCCCTAATCATCTTTGTTGCTCTTCTCTGTACTCTTTCTAGAGTCTCAACATCTTTTCTGTGATATGGCAGGGGATCTTCAAACGTGGCCCTTTTATGTCTTGTGGATTTCAACTCCCAGAACTGCACTTAACAAATTGTCTCGCTTAGCAACAGAAACGTTGGGCTGGATGGTGGCCGTAAGTCAGGGACTGCCTGTTTTCGGAGCATTGACTCAGGGTCTCCGTTTCTATGGGCAGAATCTCCTCCGTTTTCCGTGCAGGATTTCGGGGCTGGGCTCTGCAGCTGCAGCCTGTTGCTGGGGCCGCAACGGTGCCTCAGCTTAGCGGGCAAAATTGTGGGTTTTTGTGAACTCCAGGCTCCCTCCTGCCGCTCCTCCACACCCTGGGCTGTTACTTCCTTGTCAAAAGGTCTCAGTTTGTTGTGGGTACAACAGACAGTTGTGTCTACGATTGTGTCTTTGCCCGTTTGTTCAGTTTCTCAGTTCAGTGAAGGTTAGGTTCCTGGCATCCTTCCCTGTCGACACCGACAACCAACAACTCCTAGCTAACTCCAGCTGCCCTGGAGCTCCCGGCAGTTTTGACCAGGCTACTTGCAATGAAGACAGGCTTGAGGGGGTCTCTGACTCTGGGTCAAGGTCAGGGATGGGCAAGTATGACCCCTTGATTTATTTATTTATTAAAATTTATAGACCGCCCCATTCCCGCAGGACTCCCTGGCGGCTAACAATAAAAACACAACATAACTTAACAAAACAAACAGTACAAGAACAGTCATCCAGGGGTCAGATTTTATAAACCCCAGGCCTGCCGGAAAAGCCAGGTCTTAAGCAGCTTGCGGAAAACCAACAGGGTGGGAGCGATCCTGATCTCCGAGGGGGGGGGGAGCTGGTTCCAAGACGTGGGCGCCATCACAGAGAAAGCCCTCCCCCGCGGCCCCGCCAAATGGCACTTGATGATCTGTGGACTTCAACTCCCAGAACTCCTGAGCCAGCCACGCTGGGGAATCCTGGGAGTTGAACTCCACCAGTCGTGAAGGGGCCATATTTGCCCACCCCTGGGACACTTTTGGGGTTTAACAGAATAACAGACTTGGAAGGGACCTTGGAGGTCTTCTAGTCCAACCTCCTGCTCAGGCAGGAAACCCTATACCATTCCAGACAAATGGCTGTCCAGTCTCTTCTTAAAAACTTCCAGTGATGGAGCACCCACAACTTCTGGAGGCAGGTTGTTCCACTGATTAATTGTTCTCACTGTCAGGAAGTTTCTCCTTAGTTCTAGGTTGCTTCTCTTCTTGATGAGTTTCCACCCGTTGCTTCTAGTTCTGCCTTCAGGGGCTTTGGAAAATAGGTTGAACGCCCCCCCCCTCATCTTTGGGGCAGCCCCTGAAATACTGGAAGACTGCTATCATGTCCCCCCTGGTCCTTCTCTTCATTAAACTAGACCTACCCAATTCCAGCAGCCGTTCCTTATATGTTTTAGCCTCCAGTCCCTTAATCATCTCTGTTGCTCTTCTCTGCACTCTTTCCAGAGTCTCAACCTCTTTTTTACATCGTGGTGACCAAAACTGGATGCCGTATTCCAAGTGTGGCCTCACCAAGGCTTTATAAAGCCGTATTAACACTTCCCGTGATCTTGATTCTATCCCTACCCCCTAGTTCAGGTGTGGGCCCGACTTGTTCATCTTCTTGTGCACCACAAATAGGGACTTTCTCAGGTTCCAGCAGTAATTGCCCTGGTCTAGATTGAACCATAACAGCCTGGTTGTATTTTGGCATCTAGTTTCTCAAATATTGTGATATGAAACTGGAGATAAATCCAATCCAGACGCCCTCGTGACCAACAGAACGTGCAGTGTGCCATCCCTGCAGGAAGGTTAGAGGACAGAATAACAGAGCTGGAAGGGACCTTGGAGGTCTTCTAGTCCAACCCCCTGCTCAAGCAGGAGAACCTATACCAAGGATAGGCAACCTTGGCCCTTTTATGACTGGTGGACTTCAACTCCCAGAATCCCTGGGCCAGCATGGCTCAGCTTGGAAACCTCCCCCTTTCCCCTCAGCATGGCTGGCCCAGGAATTCTGGGAGGTGAAGTCCATGAGTCATGAAGGGGCCATAGTTCCCCCATGCTGCCTCAGGAATTCTGGGAGTTGAAGTCCACGAGTCATGAAGGGGCCATAGTTCCCCCATGCTGCCTCAGGAATTCTGGGAGTTGAAGTCCACAAGTCATAAAAGGGCCAAGGTTGCCTACCTCTGGCTAGGCCTAGGCCGCTTTATGACTCGTGGACTTCAACTCCCAGAATTCCTGAGCCAGCATAGGAAAAACCATAAGCTCCCTTGATGACTGGTGGACTTCAACTCCCAGAATTCCTGAGCCAGCCTGGCTCAGCTTAGAAACCTCTCCCTTTCCCTTCAGCATGGCTGGCTCAGGAATTCTGGGAGTTGAAGTCCACCAGTCATGAGGGGGTCGTAGTTCCCCCATGCTGGCTCAGGAATTCTGGGAGTTGAAGTCCACGAGTCATAAAAAAGTCAAGATGGCCTGCCTCTAGCCTAGGCCTAGGCCGCTTTATGACTGGTGGATTTCAACTCCCAGAATTCCTGAGCCAGCATGGCTCAGCTTGGAAACCTCTCCCTTTCCCCTCAGCATGGCTGGCTCAGGAATTCTGGGAGTTGAAGTCCACCAGTCATAAAAGAGCCAAGGTGGCCTAGCCCTGCCCTAGGCCATTCCAGAGAAGTGGCTGTCCAGTCTCTTCTTGAAAAACTCCAGTGATGGAGCACCCACAACTTCTGGAGGCAACTTCTGTTCCACCGGTTAATTGTAAAGGGAAGGGCAGAGAGAGTAAGTCGGCGTGTGAACAGAAGAAGCCCCAGAAAGTTCTATATGCAGGACAAGGTTAAACTCCTGGATTTTTGTTTTAGTTGAAGAGAGGGAAGAAGACAACAGTCCTGTAGCGATGACAAAACACAATAGTCGAAGTAACTGTTCAGACTCAGTCCGAAACCGTGTCTTCTAATCGAGGGGGGAATGTCACCATCCAGAAGGGCGAGGAGCTGAAAGATCTGAATCAGAATTGCGCAATCTTTGGCAACCTCTAGACTTGTGGACTTCAGTTCCCAGAATTCCCCAGCCAGCAAAGGATTGTTTGCTGGGAGGTTTCCCCACGCAAACATGGGATGGGAAAGCATGCACATTGGTGAAGGGCAGCATTGCAGGCCCTGCCCACAGCCAGGCGCTCGATCCTGACGGGGCTCAGGGTTGACTCAGCCTTCCATCCTTCTGAGGTTGGTAAAATGAGGACCCGGATTGTTGGGGAGGGGGCAACATGCAAATAATGCTTTGACACTGAAAACCACCCAGAGGATGCTGTGAAGGGCTATAGGGGGACCTATGAAGTAATTCCCACAGCACCGTCTCGTCTTCTCATCTTTCCCACTCTCTTCTCCTGTTGGTTTCTTTTGTTGTTTGTAACTTATGAGTAATGATTGTCGCTATGATTTATGACCTAGGTAGGATCTATAAACTTGCTGTTTATATGTACACTGAGAGCTTATGCACCAGAGACAAATTCCTTGTGTAACTGATCACACTTGGCCAGTAAAGAATTCTATTCTGTTCTATTACATTCTATTCTATTCCACATTCCTATTCTGTTTTATTCTATTCCTATTCCTATCATGATTCTGTTCTATTCTATTCTTATTTCTATTCTATTCTATTCTATTCTATTCTATTCCATTTCATTCCATTCCATTCCATTCCATTCCATTCTATTCTATTCTATTCTATTCCTATTCCTATCATGATTCTATTCTATTCTTATTTCTGTTCTTAATTCTATCCTATCCTATCCTATCCTATCCTATCCTATCCTATCCTATTCTATTCTATTCTATTCTATTCTATTCTGTTCTATTCTATTCTATTCTATTCTATTCTATTCTATTCTATTCTATTCTATTCTATTCTATTCTTATTTCTGTTCTATTCTTATTTCTGTTCTTAATTCTATCCTATCCTATCCTATCCTATCCTATCCTATCCTATTCTATTCTATTCTATTCTATTCTATTCTATTATTTCTGTTCTTAATTCTATTCCATTCCATTCCAATCCAATCCAATCCAGTCCAATCCAATCCAATCCCTTCCAGCTTGTATTCCATTCCATTCCATTCCATTCTTAATTCTATTCCAGTCCAGTCCAGTCCAATCCAATCCAATCCAATCCTATCTAATCTAATCTAATCTAATCTAATCTAATCTAATCATCTATTCCCTAGTCTAGTCCAGTCCAGGTCCAGGTCCAAATCCAGTCTAAATGCTATGGCTAAACGCTCTTTTCCCGCAGCAGAGAGGGCCTGGCCTGGCCTGGAGAGGGACGTGTGTGGGGCCAACCCCCCCCAGCCCCTCATCTGAGACCTGTGTTTCTTTTTACAGTTCAGCAGCTCCTTCAGAACGGCCTCAGCCCCGACCTGTGCAACGAGGATGGACTGACCGCCTTGCACCAGGTGAGCCCAGGGCTTTCCCACCTTCTGGGCCAGAGGCCCGGGGCTTTTTGCTCTCCCCACAGCAGAGCATCCCCCCTCCGAGCCCTCACGGTCTCCCAGGGGTTCCTGCCTGCCTGGTGGTGCCGCCGTCTTCCTCTGGGCAAGTGGAGCCCCAGCACGCCGGCTCACTGCCAGAGCCGGAATGGCAGACCTGGAGATCCAGAGCACCCCCGACGGGGGAGGCTGCCTCCTAAGCTGTCGTCAGGGCCTGGGGGGGACCTCGGGAATGAGGTGCTGGGGGGGGGCCTTTCATGACCGCCTTGCTCAGCAGTGGGCATCCGGGTCTCTGTTGTGCTCATAAGTCGAGGACTGCCTCCGGTTTGCAAATTGGAGCTGGAAAGTCCGTCCTGGAGGCCGGATCCTTCTGGAGCCCTTTTGCCCTCTAACTTCTGTCCCCTTACAGCAGTGGTTCTCAACCTTTTTAATGCCGCGACCCCCAACCGGTCATAAGTCGAGGACTACTCAACCGGTCGTAAGTCGAGGACTACTCAACTGGTGCAGCACCGTTTGCAGAATGGGACTTTTGGCGGGCTCAGCAGGGCAGAGACAGCCTGGACCATTCCTATTGGCTTTGGAAAGCCAATAGAATTAGACTCTATTCAAGAGAGTCTCTTCGATTGGCTTTCAAAAGCCAATAGAATAAAAGGTAGTAGCACAGCTAAGGAAAAGGGGGAAAAAATGGCGGACTGCATTGTTTGGCGACCCCCGTGAAATGGTCGTTCGACCCCAAATGGGGTCCCGACCCACAGGTTGAGAACCACTGCCTTACAGGCAGTCTCCGACTTACGACAGCTCGCTCAGTGACTGTTTTAAGTTACAGCGGCACTGGAAAAAGCAACCCCACCATCCCCTTTTGTGCCCTTCTGACTAAAAAAGCCAGTGGAGACGCCAGGCTCACTTAGCAACCTTAATGGCCGCCGTCATTCACTTCACAGCCGTGGCAAAGAGAGGTCGTAAAACGGGACAGAACCCACTCCACAAATGTCTCGCTCAGCGACATAAATGGTGGGCTCAGTTGTCGTAACTCGAGGGCTGTTTGACCGAGGCCTCCACGTCCGCCTCCCTCAGCTGTTCTTTCCCCGTTCTCTTCCCCTGGCGCTGCTCCCTCCATTCTGTGGGGAGGCCACGTTGTGGGTCCCTTCTTGGCGTTGCGGAAGTGATATCGGGAACATTCCTAGGTCGCTTTTTTCAGCCTTGCTGTAACTTTGGTCCCTGAATGCATCGTAGCACAACCGCACCCCCCCCCCCCGTTGCCGGCAGTGGGGAAAAAGCCGTCATACGTCACGACACGTCAGGTGACGTTGTGAGTGTGACACCCCTGCGCTGTAGTGGGAAGGCAGCAGGGTGGGCAAGGGGGAAGAGGCTTAGGGCTGCCTAAGGCTGCTCCCCTCTCAGCAACCTTGCGGCCGTCGGGGACTTCCTGTCCCAGCCACGGGACGATCGCCCCCCACCCCACCAGGCCTTCCTCCCCTCTCCCCAGTGCTGCATCGACGACTACGGGCGGATCGTGGAGCTGCTGCTGGAAGCCGGGGCCGACGTGAACGCCTGCGACAGCGAGCTCTGGACCCCGCTGCACGCTGCCGCCACCTGCGGACACCTGCCCCTGGTGGGGCTGCTGCTTCAGAGGTACGGGCCGCTCCTTTGAAGGCTGAGTTGGGCTTGGGGAGGGGGTCTTTGAGGGTCTGCGCTGGCTCTGGCCCCAGAGGGCCACCCTGCTGGGCAGGGGCTGCGCCTGAGGGTGGGGAACCCGTTGGTGGCTTAGGGGTCCTTTCGGCAATTGGGTGGATTTTGTGAACAGTACAAACATGGACGCTTTTTTTCTTCAACCGCTGAGACAGGCAGGAGACTTTGGCCCAGTTCCTCTCCTGCCCCCCCCCCTTCAGGAAATGTTGATGTTTACGTCCTTCTTTTATTATCTTTACGAACAACTCAAGGCAGCAATCAAGCCTGTCGTTCCTCCCTCTTCCTGTTGTCCCCAAACAACGACCCAGTGAGGAGAGAGGAGTTGAGAGGGAAAGACTGGCCCAAAGTCACCCAGCCGGCTTTCATGGCTAAGGCAGAACTACAACTCACCGCTTCCTGGTGATTGGCCCAAAGTCACCCAGCCGGCTTTTGTGACTAAAGCGGGACTAGAACTCACACATCTCCTGGTGATTGGCCCAAAGTCATCCAGGTGGCTTTCATGCCTAAGGCAAGACTAGAACTCACCGTCTCCTGGTGATTGGCCCAAAGTCACCCAGCCAGCTTCCATTCCTAAGGCAGGACTAGAACTCACCGTCTCCTGGTGATTGGCCCAAAGTCATCCAGGTGGCTTTCATGCCTAAGGCAGGACTAGAATTCACCATCTCCTGGTGATTGGCCCAAAGTCATCCAGGTGGCTTTCATGCCTAAGGCAGGACTAGAATTCACCATCTCCTGGTGATTGGCCCAAAGTCACCCAACTAGCTTTCATTCCTAAGGCGGGACTAGAACTTCCTCTCTCCCGCCTTGACCACTAGGCCAAGCCACCACCTGGATAAGAGCATCCCTTGTCATTAGCACTTAGCACTTAGACTCGTATACCGCTTCATGGTGCTGCCCAGCCCCTCTTGCCCCCAACGATCTGAGCCCACCTTGAGCCGGTCAGGATCGACCTCCTGACAGTGGGCAGAGTCAGCCTGCAATGCCGCCTTCTGGCCCCTGCGCCCCCAGGGCTCTCTACGCCTTTCTTTTAAGCACTGGGGGTGGTCACTGCTGCCAGGACTCCTGCTCTGTCCCCCGCCTTCCTCGCTTGGGGAGGGGCACGGAGCCTCCGATGGTCTTCCTCTCTTGCTTAAGGAAGCGCCTCCACATTGACACCCCCCCTCGCATTCCCTCGGGATTCCCCCCCAGGGCCTTTTAGCTGGTCGGTAAATCTTTGGGAATCACGCACGCCATCCCAAAGGACGAGGAGCGTCGCTTCCTGTCTCCACATCTAAGCCTGGGGAGGGGGACGCGTCCTAGGATCTCCCACCAGGCCACGGCCAAAAAAGTCTGAGTGGCAGAGATTCCCGTGGCTTTTCCCGCGGGCGAGGAGGGGGTCGCTGGCTCTCCTTGGGCAGTGGGGGGAGACCCTAGAGCAGTGTTTCTCAACCTTGACAATTTTAAGGGATGTGGACTTCAACTCCCAGAATTCCACAGCCAGCATTGCTGGCTGTGGAATTCTGGGAGTTGAAGTCCACATGCCTTAAAATTGTCAAGGTTGAGAAACACTGCCCTAGAGGGAAGGGCAGCGTGATGGCTTTAGAACAGGGGTCTCCAACCCCTGGACTGTGGACTGGTACTGGGCCGTGGCATGCCAGCAACTGGTCCACACAAACAAGTAAAGCCCCATCCGTGGGATGCAGGCAGCACACGAAACCACACACCCTCCGGTCCGTGGAAAAACCTCTTGTCATGTTACTGGTCCTTGGTGCCCAAAAGGTGGTGGGGGGTTGTTCTGCTTTAGAGTATTACAACAGTTCCTTTAGTGACCCTTTAGGGCAGGGGTAGGCAACCTTGGCTCTTTTATGACTCGAGGACGTCAACTCCCAGAATGCCTGAGCCAGCATGAGGGAAACTATGGCCCCTTCATGACTCGTGGACTTCAACTCCCAGAATTCCTCAGCCAGCATGGCTCACCTTGGAAACCTCTCCCTTTCCCCTCAGCATGGCTGGCTCAGGAATTCTGGGAGTTGAAGTCCATGAATCATGAAAGAGCCAAGGTTGCCTACTCCTGCTTTACGGACTTATGGCCGTTTTTCAGGACTGTTGCGGCATTCCCAGGGTCGTGTCATCAGATGCTCGGCAACTAACTCATACTTACGACGGTCGCAGTGTCCTGGATAGGGGGTCACGTGATCCCCTTTTGCGACCTTCTGACAACCAAGGTCAATGGGGAAGCCGGATCCATTTAACAACGGCGTTCCCCATTTAGCTGTTACAGCGATTCAGTTAACAACCGTGGCCGGGGAAGTTGTGACACTGGGGCAAAACTCACTGAACGAAATGTCTTGGTTAGTGACAGAAATGTTTGGCTCGGCTGTGGCCGTAAGCCAAGCACTGCCTGCCTTGCATTATTTTAATGTTGCAAAGGTATAATAATAGTAATAATAATAAAGTTGGAAGGGACCTTGGAGGTCATCAAGTCCAACCCCCTGCTCAGGCAGGAAACCCTAGACCATTTCAGACAAACGGCTGTCCAGTCTCTTCTTTAAAACCTCCAGTCTTGGAGCATTCACCGCTTCTGGAGGCAGGTAGTTCCCCTGGTGAATTGTCCTCACTGTCAGGAAGTTTCTCCTTACTTCCAGGTTGCTTCTCTCTTTGGTTAGTGCAGATCTTGCTGTTTTTAAGAAGAGACCGGACAGCCATTTGTCTGAAATGGCACATAGGGTTTCCTACCCGAGCGGGGGGTTGGACTAGAAGACCTCCAAGGCCCCCTTCCAACTCTGTTGTTATTGCAATCTTTGCACTGCGGTCTTCATTGCAGTCCTTACGTCACAAGACGGTAACATTGCGACAGTGCCTTATTGCCTTATTTTTAAGTGAATGATCCTGGCAGCAGCAGCCTGGGGGTGGGGTGGGGGGCTGTGGGGCGAGACCCCTCCTTCCCGCAGCAGCCTTCTCCGTCTCTGCCGGGCTCCTGCTTCCAGTCGGCAGATGGCAGAGCCGGCTTTGGCAGGGGCTCCTCTTCCTCCGCCGGCTGGCCCGGCACCACGCAGAGGGAGGGACCAGGCGCCGTCTCAGCCCCCCTGAAGGGGGGGGGAGAGAAACCCAGCCTGTGCCAGCCAGCCAGCCAGCTCTCGGACCGAAATAGCTCCCGGTGTCCATTACGGCAGTCTTGGCGGCTGCCAGCTTCACCGCCTGTTCTCCCCCCCTCCCCTTTTTCCTCCAGGGGGGCCAACCTGCTGGCCGTCAACTCGGATGGAAACATGCCGTACGACCTCTGTGAGGACGAGGCCACGCTGGACTACCTGGAGGCGGCCATGGCTGAGCGAGGTGAGGGGCTCCCTTCCTGGGCTCTGCCCGCCTTGCCCCTTTCGAGGGGGGAGAGGGGCTGCGGGACCCTCCCTGCCTCCCTTCCGCTCTCTGGCTGGGGTTTTTGTTGGCACGGAGCTTCTAGCTTTGCAGTCGTTGCTTCCTTTCCCCGTCCCAGCTTGCTTTGGGGGGGCAGGCCCGATGTCGGGATCCTTCCAGCCAGTGGCTGGGCAGCCCGTGGGGGGTGGGTGGGTGGGTGGAGGCAGCGGTCCTTCGGCAGCAGCCCAGCCCCGAATCTGGACAGAGGCATCACCACGGAGAAGAAGAAGAAGAGGAAGCTGAGGGCTCTTTGGCACTCTCTCAGCTGGCTGGTTTCCTTGCAGACGTTTCATTTGCCAAACTAGGTAGCGTCATCAGTGCTAAGGGAGGGTGGGGATTCTCCCACTTTTTGTATATAAACTTAGCTCCTTTATCTACTCCAGTGGTTCTCAACCTGTGGGTCGGGACCCCATTTGGGGTCGAACGACCATTTCACGGGGGTCGCCAAACAACGCAATCCGCCATTTTTCCCCCCTTTTCCTTAGCTGGGCTCCTCCCTTTTATTCTATTGGCTTTTGAAAGCCAATAGAAGAGACTCTCTTGAATAGAGTCCAATTCTATTGGCTTTCAAAAGCCAATAGGAATTGTCCAGGCTGTCTCTGCCCTGCTGAGCCCGCCAAAAGTCCCATTCTGCAAACGGTGCTGCACCAGTTGAGTAGTCCTCGACTTACGACCGGTTGAGTAGTCCTCACGACCGGTTGGGGGTCGCGGCATTAAAAAGGTTGAGAACCACTGATCTACTCACTAGTATATAAAAATGAGGGCAAACCCCTCTCCCTCCTAGCACGTGAGGATGGTGTTACCTATTTTGGGTCGTGAAACGTCTGTAAGGAAGCCAGCCAGCTCAGAGAGCACCAGGGACTCCATCCTCCTCCTCTTCCTCCTCCTCCTCCTCCTCCTCTCCTCAGACCCTGCTCCCTCCCAGCACTGATTATGTGACTTAGTTGGGTCATGAAACGTCTGCAAGGAAACTACCCAGCTTTGAGAGCACCGGGGACTACCTGAGCAGGGGGTTGGACTAGATGACCTCCAAGGTCCCTTCCAACTTTACTACTATTATTATTATTACCCCCCAACCCGGGGAACTTTTTCTTCTGACCTGTGAGGTCTTTCTCCCCCCCCCCCCCGTGTGGATGAGGCTTCTGGGCTTGGGGGTGAGGGGGCGGGCTCCATGGGAGACAGCCGTGGGGGGGCGCCTTGTCCTAGACCAGGAGTCCCCAAGCTTGGGCCCTTGATGACTGGTGGACTTCAACTCCCAGAATTCCTCCGCCAGCGCTGGCTGAGGAATTCTGGGAGTTGAAGTCCACCAGTCATCAAGGGCCCAAGCTTGGGGACCCCTGCCCTAGAGGGCAGAAAGGGGGCAGCTGGAGCCCTGGAGGAGGCCGGTCCCTCTCCGGATGGAGCTGGCGTGGCTACTCCCCGCTTTTCCCACTCGGAGCTGCCCTGTCTCCCCTCAGAGATCACTCAGGCCACCATTGAGGAAGCCCGCTCGGCGGTGGAGCGCAGGCTGGTGATGGACATCCGGCGGCTGGTGAGAGAAGGGGCTGATCTGAACACCCCCCTGGACCACAAGGCCACCCTGGTGAGAGGAAGCCGGGACCCTGGGAGGGGGTTGGGGGGTGGAGGAGCCCTCCTCCTGAGTTTTTTTTCCTTCCTGCCTGCCTGCCTTCCTTCTTTCCTGCTCCCTCCCTCCCTTTTGTCCTTCCTTCCTTCCTTCCTTCCTTCCTTCCTTCCTTCCTTCCTTCCTTCCTTCCTTCCTTCCTTCCTTCCTTTCCTGTCTCCCTCCCTCCTTCCTCCCTCCCTTCCTTCCTTCTTTCCTGCCTGCCTGCCTGCCTGCCTTCTTTCCTGCTCCCTCCCTCCCTTTTGTCCTTCCTTCCTTTCTTTCTTCCTTCCTTCCTTCCTTTCCTGCCTCCCTCCCTCCTTCCCTGCCTCGCTGCCTCCCTCCCTTCCTTCCTTCCTGCCCTTCTTCCTTTCTGCCTGCCTGCCTTCTTTCCTTCCTTCCTTCTTTCCTTCCTTCCTTCCTTCCTTCCTTCCTCCCTCCTTCCTTCACTTCCTTCTTTCCTGCCTCTCTCCCTCCCTTCCTTCCTTCTTCCCTGCCTCCCTCCCTCCCTTCCTTCTTTCCTGCCTGCCTCCCTCCCTCTCTTCCTTTCTTCCTTCCTTCTTTCCTGCCTCCCTCCCTCCCTCCCTTCCTTCCTCCCTCTCTCCCTCCCTGCCTCCCTCCTCCCTTCCTTCTTTCCTGCCTTCCTTCCTTTCTGCCTGCCTCCCTCCCTCCCTTCCTTCTTTCCTGCCTCCCTCCCTCCTTCCCTCCCTCCCTTCCTTCCTTCCTTCCTTCCTTCCTTTTCTTTCCTTCCTTCCTCCGCCCTTACTGCCTGCCTGCCTCCCTTCCTCTCCTTCCCTCCCTCCTCCCTCTCTCCCCTCCTCCCTCCCTCCCTCCCTTCCTCCCTCTCCGCCCTCCTCCTCTCTTCCTTCTTTCCTGCCTTCCTCCTCCTCCTCCCTCCCTCCCTTCCCTCCCTCCTCCTTCCTCCCTCTCTCCCTCCCCTGCCTCCCTCCTCTCTTCCTTCCTTCTTTCCTGCCTTCTTCCTTCCTTTCTGCCTCCCTCCCTCCCTCCCTCCTTCCTTCTTTCCTGCCTCCCCCCTCCTTCCCTCCCTCCCTCCCTCCCTTCCTTCCTTCCTCCCTCCCTTACTGCCTGCCTGCCTGCCTCCCTCCCTCCCTCCCTCCCTCCCTTCCTTCCTCCTCCCTCCCTTCCTCCCTCCCTTCCTGGCCTGCCTCCCTCCCTCCTCCTTCCTTCCTTCCTTCCTGCCCCTCCCTCCCTCCCCCTCCCTGCCTGCCCCCTCCCTCCCTCCCCTTCCTTCTTTCCTTCTTCCTCCCTCCTCCCTCCCTCCCTGCCTCCCTCCCTCCCTCCCTCCCTCAAAGCTTTCTCTGCCAAACATCTGTGCTTTCTTTCCTTCTGAGATGGCGGCCCGATGCGCAGGCCCCTGGGACTCGGCCCAGCCCAGCCTGGCCTTGCGAGGCCCCCCGTGTGGCTCAGGTGAGGCTCGGCCACCTGCCTGCCTGCCCGCCCCTGCGCCCCCCCCTCTCCCCAAAGGCTCAGCCTCCTCCCCTTTCCCTGCCCCACAGCTGCACATCGCCTCCGCCAACGGCTACCTGGAGGCTGCCGAGCTCCTGATAGAACACCAGGCCAGCCTGAGCGCCAGGGACCATGATGGCTGGCAGCCGCTTCATGCCGCCGCTTGCTGGGGCCAGGTGAGTCGCCCCCACGCCCCCTCGGAGCCTTCAGGGTGGGGGCCTGCCCCCCCCCGGACCCCAATTCTCTGAGCCTGGCTCTCCCCTTCCTGCCCGGCCTGGGGGGCTCCCTCCCCGCCCTTGTCCTGCTGACCCCTTGTTCTGTGGCCGACAGATCCCCTTGGTGGAGCTGCTGGTGGCCCACGGAGCAGATCTCAACGGGAAGTCGCTCTTGGAGGAGAGCCCGCTGGGTGAGCAAGAGAAGACGGAGGGAGGGGCAGGATGGAATGGGGGAGACCTTGGCCTCCCCCCCCCCCCGAGCTTCCGGCAGGCTCAGAGGCCCTCCAGGCAGGCCAGAGCTGGGCTGTTAACTCTGCAGGGCCCCCCTTGATAGGATGGGTGCCCACCTTCTGCTGATAGGAGCCCTCAGCTGAGGGGCAGAAGGGAAAAGACCAATAGAAGCAGATCTTTGTAGCTCAGGGTGGAACTGGGGGGGTCCCGGGGGGTCCTCTGAGCTGGGTGGTTTTCTTGCGGACGTTTCAGGACCCAACTAGGGAACATCATCAGTACTACTGAAGTGAGTGGGGTTTGTGAGGAGGAGGAGAAAGAGGAAGAGGAGGACTGTGGGGTCCTTTATGTTCTCTGCTGGGTGGTTTTCTTGCAGACGTTTCATGACCCAACTAGGAAATGTCATCAGTGCTAGAAGGGAGTGGGGTTTGCAGAAGGGAGAGGAGGAGGAGGAGGAGGAATGTGGGGTCCTTGGTGCTCTCTGAGCTGGCTTGCTTTCTTGCAGACATTTCATGGCCCAACTAGGTAACATCATCAGTGGTAGAAGGAGGAGGAGGAGGAGGAGGAGGAGAACTGTGGGGTCCCTGGTGCTCTGAGCTTGGCTGTTTCTTGGAGACGTTTCATGACCCAACTAGGAAACGTTATCAGTGACAGAAGGGGGAGGAGGAGGAGGAGGAAGAAGAAAGGACTCTGGGTCTGGTGGTTTCCTTGCAGACGTTTCATGGCCCAACTAGGGAACATCATCACTGCTGCTTATATAGATCTCTGGCAGGGCAAATCTCTTGTATATAATCCGAGAGGGAGCCTCCCTCCCTTTCAGCACTGCTGATGTTACCCAGGCGGGTCATGAAACATCTGCAAGGAAACTGCCAAGCTCGGAGAGACCCCAAGACTCCCCCCCCCAAGAGCAGACCCATTGCAATCCGCATAATTGGCCCGCCCGCTTGAGAAGAAGGCCCTGGGGAAGGGGAGACTTTTGGGGAGCGGAAGGGAGGAAGGTTGCAACCGAGTTTTGTCTCTTCCCTTTTCTGGTTGCTTGTCTCGAACCAGTGACTTTCACACACACACCCCCACCCAAACGCCGGACCTTTGCACAGGAGGGGAGACGAGAGAACAACACGGGAAAAGCGTGACCGAGTTCACCCGACATGCCCTAGCCAGGCAGGGCATTCGAACGTGTTTCGCCCAACTTGTGTCCCCCTCGTGGGCTGAGTGGTGCCGGCTGCTTTGGGTGGCCTGCCGTTTGTGGAGGTCTAGACCAGGGCCGAGAGGTTCGGAGAAAGCCACTTCCACGTGGGGAGCCCCTCGGGTGCGAAGGGGCTTTGGGGCCGCACTGAGGCTGCTTCTCTCCCCCCCTCCCGCCAGATGTGTGTCCGAATGAAGAAGTGCGGGCCAAACTTCTGGAGCTGAAGCACAAGCAGGATGCCGTCATGAAGTCCCACGACAAGCAGAAGTCTCTGCTGCAGCGCCGGACGTCCAGTGCCGGCAGCCGAGGGTGGGCTCCAGGGGCTGGGGCTGGGTGGGTGGGTGGGTGGGATGGTAGCCAGACCGTGTTTGGCCAGAGCAAGCAGGCAGGGAGAGGAGGAGGAGGACGACGACTGTGGGGTCCTTGGTGCTTTTTTTAAATTTTATTTTTATTTTGGTTTTTGAGTTTGGTGATTTTCCCGCAGACGTTTCATTACCAAACTAGGTAACATCATCAGTGCTAGAAGGGAGTCGGGTTGGTAAAAAGGAGGAGGAGGAGGAGGAGGAGGAGGAGGAGGAGGAGGAGGAGGAGGAGGAGGAGGAGGAGGAGAGGAGAGGAGAGGAGAAGGAGAGGAGGAGGAGGAGGAGGAGGAGAGGAGGACGACGACTATGGGGTCCTTGGTGCTTTTTGAATTTGGTGGTTTTCCTTCAGACATTTCATTACCCAACTAGGTAACATCATCAGTGCTAGAAGGGAGTGGAGTTTGCATAGTGGAGGAGGAGGAGGAGGAGTGGGGAGGGCTCCAGATCCCTGGAGGAGCAGGGCCCGCTCTGGGTCTCCCTCGGGGACCCTCAACTACACCTTGTCTCCCCCCCCCAGGAAAGTGGTGAGGCGGGTGAGCGTGACCCAGCGCACCAACCTCTACCGCAAGGAACACGCCAAGGAGGCCATCGTGTGGCAGCGGCGGCAGAGCGAGGGAGAGCCGGAGGACGAGGATGGACAGGCCGACGGGCAGCTCCGAGTCCAGGTGGGATTCAGAGGCTGGGAGGGAGGGTGGCAGCTGCCCCCAGACCCAGCCTTCCCTGGTCCCCCCACTTTTCTCTTCCCCCCCCAAGAGTCAGAGGGAGGCAACTGGTCTTTCAAGCCAGGGCTTTGGGCTTGCATCGCTGGCCAAGGCTTCTATCCGTCCCGGGGCCTTGACTGACCAATCAGGGGTCTTTCCTGTACAGGAGTCCTCGGGTTAAACGACCACAATGGAGCCCCAAATTTATGTTGCTAAGCGAGACAGTTGTTAAGCGGGTTTTGCCCCATTTTACGACTTTCCCTGCCACAGTTGTTAAATGAAACCTTGCAGTTGTTAAATTAGTCACACGGTCGTTAAGCGAATCTGGCTTCCCCCCTGGACTTTGTGGGTGAGAAAGTCGCAAATGGGGATCACGTGACCCCTCTGGGATGCCACGACCGTTGTAAATACGAGCCAGTTGCCCAGTGGCTGAATTTTGATCACGTGACCCTGGGGCAGGGATAGGCAACCTCGGCTCTTTTATGACTGGTGGACTTCAACTCCCAGAATTCCTGAGCCAGCCAATTCCTGAGGGGAAAGGGAGAGGTTTCCAAGCTGAGCCATGCTGGCTCAGGAATTCTGGGAGTTGAAGTCCAGGAGTCATAAAAGGGCCAAGTTTGAAGACTTCTGTCTTAAATCTAACAAACAAAATGGAGGCTGGCTGAAGAATTCTGGGAGTTGAAGTCCATGAGTCATTAAAGAGCCAAGGTTCCCCACCCCTGGTCTAGGGCATGGTAGGCCACCTTGGCTCTTTTGTGACTCGTGGATTTCAACTCCCAGAATTCCTGAGCCAGCCACGCTGAGGGGAAAGGGAGAGGTTTCCAAGCTGAGCCATGCTGGCTCAGGAATTCTGGGAGTTGAAGTCCACGAGTCATAAAAGAGCCAAGGTTGCCTAGCCCTGGTCTACATTATGGGTGTCCAACCATGGGAATTTTAAGACTTTGGACTTCAACTCCCAGAATTCCTGAGCGGAAAGGGAGAGTTTCCACGCTGAGTCATGCTGGCTCAGGAATTCTGGGAGTTGAAGTCCACGAGTCATAAAAGAGCCAAGTTTAAAGACTCCTGTCTTAAATCTAACAAATAAAATGGAGGCTGGCTGAAGAATTCTGGGAGTTGAAGTCCACCAGTCATAAAAGAGCCTGGTCTTTGGCAGGGTAGGCAACCTCGGCTCTTTTATGACTGGTGGACTTCGACTCCCAGAGTTCCTCAGCCAGGCACACTTTAAGCCAGGCGTCTTCAAACTTGGCCCTTTGATGACTGGTGGACTTCGACTCCCAGAATTCCTCAGCCAGGCACGCGTGCCTGGCTGAGGAATTCTGGGAGTCGAAGTCCACCAGTCATCAAAGGGCCAAGTTTGAAGACCGCTGGCTTACACCCTTCCTCTCTGCATCCCACAGGACCCCGAAGCGCAAGCAGGGCCCCCCGAGGAGCGCAACGGCATGGCCCCCCCTCACCCCTTCTACCCCCAGTGGCTGGACCGCGCCTCTTCCAACCAGCCGGCTGCTCAGGAGGACCCGGCGTCCGGCCTCAGCAAGGAGAAGGCCCACCACACCTTAGCGGACCTCAAGCGCCAGCGGGCAGCGGCCAAGCTGCAGCGCCCCTCGACGGAAGAGCTCCCGCCCGGCCCTGACCAGGCCCCTCAGCCCCCCCAGGCGGGACCCAATGCCGTATCCGTCACCGCAGCCAGTGGAGACCCTCCCCTCCTCAAACTGACTGCTCCGGCCGAGGAAAGGCCGGCCCAGAAGAGGCGCTGCTGCCGGCTGATGTGAGCGGAGAGGTCCACTCCTCACGGGCCAGGCCGGCCTCTCTGCTGCTCGGGCCGGTCGAGAGGGCGAGGCTGCGGCCCCGGCCCTCTGCCCTTTGGGGCGGGATCCTGCCTGCCTTGTGGGAAGAGCCCAGTCCCTGGCCAGCTGGAGCTTTTGGGATCCAAATCGGGACAGTGTTCTCCTGCTGCCCGTGTAGGCACACGGAGATCTCAGGGAGGGCTGAAGGCCCCACTCAACGGAGCAACAGAGTGGGAAGGGACCTTGGGGGTCATCTAGCCCAACCCCCTGCTCCAGTGCTGCGGACAAACGGCTAGGGGTGCGGCTTGGCCTGGCGTCGCTCTTTCGCTGGGCCCCGAGGCCCAAGCAGGGTGGTGATGCCCAGGAGGCATCGGCCCTGGCTGCCAGGCGGAGAGGGCCTGCGGGCCGGTCTGCCTGCGCCCACCCGCCGTTCTCTCCGGCTGTGTTCCAGCTCACTTCCTTCGGCTGGGGGATGAGCTGAAAGGAGGGCGGCCCAGGCTTGCCCCGTGGCCAGCAAGGACTGGCCCCAGCACCGAGGCAGCTCCGGCTGCAAAATCCCTGGGGGCAACCGGGTGGCAGCAACGAGCCGCTTTGCTTCCCGTTCTCGGCTCCGTTTGGTGACTGTCCGCCTTGTGTAACCCAAAGTCGGTAGTCCTGAGCTGCGAGTCAGTTGGTGCGGCCTATCGCACTGGCACCTCCCCAGGCCTCTTCTGCGGCAGGCCAGGGCAAGCCGGAGGGCAGTGGGGAGGGCTTGGGGGGATCGGAGGGGGTGGGAACTGGCAGGTCTTTGGGGCAGCTTCCCCAGCCTCCAAATGGCCTGGGAATTGATATCAGGGTGAATCGAGCTTGGATGAGAAGCTCACCACTTTCCCTTTGTACCCAGGGGCAGGGTTGTGTGTGTGTGTGTGTGTGTGTGTGTGTGTGAAAGAGAGGGGGGGGGAGAGAGAGTGTCATGGAATCCTAGGGCTGGAAGCGGCCTTGGAGATCTTCTAGCCCACCCCCTGCCCCAAGGCAAGAGTTCTTATATCATCCCAGACAAATTCTCTTTTCTTGAAGAGAGAATGGGAGAGAGAGAATGAGAGAGAGAGAGAGAGAGAGAGAGAAAGAATGAGAGAAAGAATGAGAGAAAGAATGTGAGAGAAAGAGAGAAAGAGAAAGAAAGAGAATGAGAGAAAGGAAGAAAGAGAGAGAGAAGGAGAGAGAAAGAATGAGAGAAAGAAAGAGAAGGAAAGGAGAATGAGAGAAATGAGAGAAGAGAGAATGAGAGAAAGAGAGAGAGGGAAAGAGAAAGAATGAGAAAGAGAATGAGAATTAGAAAGAATGAGAAGGAGAAAGAGAGAGAATGAGAAAGAAAGTGAGAGATAAGACAGAGAGAGAAAGAATGAGAGAGAGAGAGAGAGACAGATGGATGCATGTATGCCTGCTCTGACTGCTTCCCACCAACTTTACTCTACTTTGTAGACCCAGTCCAGGCTTCCAGAGGAGGGAGGATCCTGACTTCCTTGGTATGTGTATGTGTGTGTGTGTGTGGGGGGGTGTCTCTCCAAGGCAGGTGAATCACAGAGACCCCCCCCCTTTAATACTCTCCTGCTGGCTGTGCCTGGCTGGTTCAGGGACTCTGCTTCCCTCTCTCCATCCCCCTTGCCAGTCCCCCTTTGCAAGCTCTGAATTTCCCCCTCCTTTTCTTGTTTTTTTAAACCCAACGCTCTTTTGTAAAAATTGGATGGTTTTTCTAACGGCTCATTTTTAATCCTGCCATCTTCCCTGTCTCTGGCCAAGCAATAAAGGCCCATTGGGAACTTGCAACTTTGAAGACGGGTGGACTTCAACTCCCAGAATTCCCCTGCCAGCTATTGCTGACTCAGGAATTCTGGGAGTTGAAGTCCACGAGTCATAAAAGAGCCGAGGTTGCCTACCTCTGGCCTAGACTGTGGGGAGTGGGGCGGGGGGGGGAGAAAGGTTTTTGACTTAGCTCAAAAATGTCTTGCTCCTCTCTCACTTCACAATTGAAGGTAGAGTGGGGGGGGGAACCATCCCTTCCCACTTCAGGGGGGGGGCGCTGAATATTGAAAATAGGGACGGTGGATCTACGTGTCCCAGGATAATGTTGCAGGATCCAATCTGGGTCGGTCACTTAGTCTTCCCAGCTTTCGGACTCCTGCTGCTGCCCCCACCCTCAGGGAACGTCTCTCCAGCACAGTGTTTCTCAACCTTGACCATTTTAAGGCATGTGGACTTCAACTCCCAGAATTCCACAGCCAGCAATGCTAGCTGCCCTAGCAGAGTGGGTGTCCAACAGGGAGGGTCTAGCCGGGAGAAATTCCCCGAGGATGGGGGCTTCAGCAGGAGTACCAAAGCTGAGAAGACGAGACCGAGGTGGCGCAGCAGTGAGAGTGCAGTACTGCAGGCCACTTTAGCTGACTGTGTTCAGCAGGTCAGCGGTTCAAATCTCACCGGCTCAAGGTTGACTCAACCTTCCATCCTTCCGGGGTAGGTAAAATGAGGACCCAGATTGTTGGGGGCAATGTAAATATATATATATACATTGCTTACTGGTGTACACTGCTTAGAGAGTGCTTGCACTTAAAGCGGTATATAAGTCTCATAAATAGATAAATAAATAAATTCCCGATGACCAGCCCAGATCGGATCCTGCCACATTATCCTGGGACACGTCGATCCTCTTTCCCTCCTATTTTCATTATTCGGCAACAGTCAGGAACACGGAAAGCCTGATTTCCCATGGGTTCCCTTTGGGAGCAAAAGCTCTTCTCCGGAGTAAAATATTTACACCCTTAGTAAAGGTCTCCATCGGGTTCCCCCCCCCTCTCCCTTCTGCCCTGCAGGCTGTGCAGGTCAGCTTCCTCCCATTTCTCATGATCCATTTTGTCCTCCAGACCTCGGGCCGTTTTTTGTTGCCTGACTCTGGATTCTCTCAGTCTTATCCATAGCTTTTTTTTATAAGTGGGCTCTCCAGAACTGGACACACAATCTCCAGGCTGAAGCCCCACAGGGCAGGATTAGTTCCTATTCTTTCCTGCTGGGGATCCCTCTGGGGATGCGCCCCCCAAATTTTGTGTCTCTCCAGAGCCGCCTGACCGCGCTGCTTGCCCATTTTTGCAGTCATAAGAAATGATAATAATAGTTGGAAGGGACCTTGGAGGTCATCTAGTCCAACCCCCTGCTCAGGCAGGAAATCCTACACTGGGTTTCATCTGCTGGGAGCGCCCCCGACCTCTTCTCTTCGGGTTGTTCTAATGTTGTACTCCCAGTATTGTACCACCGGCAGTCCTCGACTTAACGACCATTCATTTAGTGACCGAAGTGATCACAGCTCTGAAAAAAGGGACTTTCGACCGTTTTTCACACTTACGGATGAGGCAGGACCCAGGATCCAAATGCAGACGCTTGGCAACGGACTCGTACTTACGACGGTCGCGGTGTCTCGGGGTCAAGCGATCCCCTTTTGCGCCCTTCGGACATTCAGAGTCAAAGGGGGAAGCCGGTTTCACTTAATGACGGTACTATTAACTGACCGACTGCAGTGATTCGCTCAACAACAGTGGCAAGAAAGGGCCGTACAAAGGGGAAAACCCACGTCACAAATGTCTCCCTTAGCAGCAGAACTTTTGGGGTCCCTTGCGGTCCTAAGCCGAGGATCGCCCGTATGCCCGAGGATTCTTTCGTCCCGTGTTCCTGGGCCTTTTTAATCAGGAGTCCCACCTCTCCCCTCGTCTCCCTACAGAAACGGGGGCAGAGCGCATGCCCTCTGCTTGCCCCTCAGCAAAGGCGCCTTTCGGAAGGTGGTTTTCATGGGGTCTTGGGGGGGGAACCCGACTTTTTCCCAAAATAAACTTGGTCTAAGGTGGCGTGGCTGACTTGGTGTCCTGGAGAAACCTTAAGGGCCCGTGAAAATGCAGGTTTCCTGACCAGACGGAAAAAAACCGCGGTTTTCTCTTCCGTCCTTTTGCTCCATCTGGCTTTTTCATTCTGTCTCTGTGGATGGAGAGGGGCTTTTGGGGGGGGGGAATTGCTCTTGGGGGTCTCGCCTGTCCGGCTTCGTCTTCAGGCTGGGCTGTGACCTGCCCCAGCTTTGTTCTGCAGCCGGGAAGCTGAAGCAAAGAGAGAGGGACTCGGGGGGGAAAATCAAACCCCTCTCCAAGCCAAGAAGGGGTCAATGGCCTCTCCTGTATTCCCCCCCCCCAAAGAGACCCCTTCTCAGCCCCGTATGAATCCCCTCTCGGCAGCTAAAAATCGGCTAATTTCTTACGATGCCAGAGGCCGCCTTTCCCTGCTTCCTCCCTGGCAGAGAGCCGGGGGGGGGGCTGTGAGGGGTGGGCTGCATGGGTCACCCTGCCAGGCCCGTCAGATAGGAGCCCACCCAGGGCAGGAAGACCCCCACCGGTGGGATACTGCTGTTGCCTTAGTTGCCGGTCTTCCTTTTTCCTCCACTCGGTGGTTCCATGGCTGCAAAATCTCTTTCCAGGGATTAGGAACACACCCACCCACCCGATTCTGGTTTTCCTTTTTTCTGTAATTAAGGGCATTTTGGAAGACTCTCAGGTGGTGGTGTTCGCGCGCGCGCATGTGTGTGTGTGTGTGTGTGTGTGTGCTGCCCTCTGTGCGTCCTCACCCAAAAGGGATGTGACCCGTTTGGACTCTGGCTTTGGGGAAGGCAGGAGAGGGACAGCGGTCAGCTCTCTAGCAGCGAGGGAGCGCGGCCGATTCTTCATAAACCAGGGGTGTCCATCTTTGGCCACTTTGGGACCTGTGGACTTCCCATCCCAGAATCCCCCAGCCCAGTTAAAAGTCTGAAGATGTTTGCGCACACATGCAAAGACCAGGACTTCAACCTCAGCTATGGTGCCTTTTCTCTCCCTTCTGTGCCTGGCTCTCTTTCCGTTACAGCAGTGTTTCCCAAACTTGGCCATTTTAAGGCATGAGGACTTCAACTCCCAGAATTCCACAGCCAGCAACGCTGGCTGTGGAATTCTGGGAGTTGAAGTCCACATGCCTTAAAATGGTCAAGTTTGGGAAACAGGCTTCTCCGCTGTTACTGGTTAAGACTGAGCAGCGTCCTTGAGCATCTGACTTGACCAGGTCACCACCTGATTTCTGCTCCACGACCTCAAGAAATCACTTCCTCTGTCTCCTCGGCCTTAATGAAGCCTCTGGCATCTATATTGATAAGATAACCTTTATTGTCATTTTTTTACTGTGGGCACAACGGCATGCATCAAAAATGAGATTTAGTTGCCCGCTCTCAAAGTGAACACATATGACACATCCCTAAGCATACTATATACAACATATGTACAGACCCACGCCCCTACATATACATAAGAAATAAATATTAAACTGTCCCTCTTGAATATATAACAGAAGGAGGAAGCTTTAGAGTTCACAAGGTTAGCACCGTATGGAACAAATCTGTGACTGAATTTGGATGTTCTGCTTTGGATACTGTGGAGCCCCCTCCTCCCAGAAGGGAACAAGGGGAACAGGCTGTGAGAAGGAGGTGTAGCGTCCCAGACAATCTCCCGGACCCTCCTCAAGCAACGCTTCTGTGCCGTGTCCTGGACGGGAGGGAGGGAACTGCCAATGATCTTTTCAGCTGTCCTCACCACTCTGCACTGCCTTCCTGTCTGAAGCAGGGATGCTTCCAAACCAGACTGTGATGCTATAGGACAATGTTTCCCAAACTTGACAATTTTAAGGCATGTGGACTTCAACCCCCAGAAT